AAGGTTTTAATATAATTTAACCAAGTTTTACTTTTACCATTTAGACGTCTGTCTAAACTCTTAATTTCGTCTAGCAATCTTAGTTATGTCTGACCTATTTAATATGAGGTGAGTACTGAGAAAATGGACCAAATTGATTTTTTTTTTTAAAAAAAAAGTTTTTAAGTAAAATAGATGCACCTGATTTAGATCATTTGTTATTTAAAAAAAAAATTTTTTGTCGATTTGGTCCTTTTTCCCAGCACTCATTCTATATGTCCTATTTGTCGAATATATTAGATATATCATATATATCAGATATGTCAGATATATCAAATATATAAATTATATAACATTTGTTTAACATTTCTAATGTTACATGTATAAATAATTTGCAAATTATTCAGTAGATCAATTCTATTTATAAATCTTCTAGTAGATCAATTTTGTGAAATATGTTGATCATTTGCTATACCACATTTTCTTATTATAATCACCATGTAATAATATATAATTACCACTATAACTCCCCTTTGGTATACTGCAATTCAGTGTGAATTTGCATTAAATTTAAGTAAATGGATATCATTACCGAGTAGACTGCTAAATTACTAAATTTCATGGTAAAGTACTATGATACCTGTTATTATTCACATTCATTAAAACTACTGAAAAAAGAATCAAGAATAACCTAAGATAATAGACTACATCATAGTTGTCTTGTTATATATCAAAATTACCCAAAAAATCAAACTCAGGCTTCTAAACCTTAGTTGTGATATAGGTATCACAATAGTTAAAACAGTGTAATATCAACCATTATAACTGCAATTATTGTTTAATCCAAGTTATATAATGCTTACTATTAATTCTACTCTTATAGGTATTCTTTACAGATGATGCGACACTTGTCTATTACAGACCAGCCTCTTGACATAGTTTTCAAACTCAATCAGTTTACTATGCTTTAAGCTACTTACCACTATTATCTGTTGTCAGGATAGTATGTAGACGAAACAACCTTATACAGCTTATATCATAGAAACTATCATCTTTCATGTAAGCAACTATCAAATAGTCATCTTATTCTACAAATTTGTGATCTTTAATGTATATGGTTTATACACATCCTATAAAATTCATTTCTGGAATTGAACTGGTAAATCCTATAGTAAATTAATACTATAATCTACCTTGGCTAAAGGCTAAACTAGGATCTATTGCAGGTGTAATCTATAATAGGATCTCAGTTGTTACCAACTAAAATAGGGCTGCTAGTCCTTGGTTAAAATTATTTTGACTATTAGAGACTAAAGTCATAAAATAATCGAAATGACATCATATCACATGATTTTTCATATTAAAACAAAAAATGTATGATCCTACTCTGATTTATATGAAACAATTGCAATTTAATTTTTTACAACTAGATAAATCCAATAAATTAACATTCATTGATTTTGGATCATCTAATCATGAGAAAATTGCAATTATATTATCGGCTAAAATTATAAATCAATAAATTCTACTTTAAATAAAAGGGTCTAAATTTCGAAATTTAATTGCAAATATCTCAAGATGGGCTAATCTGAAATCAATGAATGTTAGCTCATTAGATCTGCCTAGTTGCAAAAAATTGAATGGTAGTAGTTTTATACGAATTAAAATAGTATTGATTGAGATCATATATTTTTATTTCTTTAGAATTTTTTTTTATATGAAAAATCATGTGATATGATGTCATTTCAACTGTTATCCCTTTTTTATTTTTGACTTTTGGGTTTTCATTTTGGTTTCATATATAATCACAGTTTTATTATATTGTCATATATAATTAAGTAAATTTGTTTATCTATAAATAAAATTATTGATTATTTTATTTTTAATATTCTTTTTTTTATTTTTTTTTTTACTTTAATAACCTTTTTATTCTGGACAAAAAACTGCTATATAAATTTTGCAAGATCAAGAAATTTTTAAATAAGCTATTATATAATATACTAGTTATAAGTATGTTCAAAGAATTTAAGCTTATAAAAAATAATAAAAACTAATAATTTAATACTTTACCAAATTATCTTTTGAATAAAAGAATTTATTTATTTAAAATAATAGATAATAGTCAAAATTATACAAATAATTTTTTATTACTAAATTTAAACAAATTATCATATGATTATGTGATATAAATATATAAATATCATATAATTTTTTATTTATTTATGATAAACAAATATATAAAACTTTTTAGCCTTTCTATTTTTAGTTAAAGATTTATGAAATTATGAAGGCGCTCATTTTTAAAAACCTATGATGCTATTATTTATAATAAAAAAATAGATAATTAGGTCACACTATTGCTAAAAATTTGGGATATAGCAAAACAGCTGTTTATGATTTACTTAAAAATGTTGTTAAACTGATTTTTTCACACTAAAAAATGAACTGACCACTTACTACTTCTTAATACACCAACTCATCAAGAACTTTAAAGCTTTTATTCAAGAAAATAGTATAAATCGTAAGCTTTATTCAAAAATACTTAAGCATCTCATATAAACTAACCTATTTCTGATAAAACTATATATCGTAATCTCAAAAAAGTTGGAATTAATGCTTGTATTCCTTTGCATGAATAGAAGCATATTTATCAAGCTTATCTTAAATAGACTCATATACATGAAAAATGGACAAAAGACAATAGAGAAAAGTGGTTTTTTTAGATAAAAATACTTTTATACAATTTCAACAAGATAGGAAGGAAAAAAGTATAATATAAATCAAAAAAAGAATTGAATTTTGATTATATTGCAGTTACTGTAAAACTGTAAAACACAGTCTAAGTAAAATATTCTAAAGATGTTTTTTTTTGAAATGAAATTGAACTAATTATTCTTTTAGAAGGTTCAATTACTGAAAAAAACATATGCTAAAACTATTCAAAAATATATTATCTCTAACTTAAAGAAGAATTTTCTTCATGATAATGGAATTTTCCAAGAAAATAATATTACCTCACATCGCTCAAAAGTTGTTGCAGCTGCTCAAGAAAATGCTGGAATTGTGAAGCTTCTTTGGTCTGTTTAGAATCCAGATTTGAATTCAATTAAAAATCTCTGGGCAGAAATGAAAACAATGGTTTAACTTTATATTCCCTACCATCTAATATCCAAGAGCTTGAAAAGTATATTAAGGATGCTTGGAAAAACATTCCGCCAGAATATTATAAAAAATTAATTGATAATATACTGTAAAGGATTAAAGCAGTTATTGCTGCAAATGGCAATAGAATTAAAAATAAAGATATTTTACCTTTTATTTTATTTTTACCTTTTTATTTATGTAATTTTTTTTTTGATTTGAAAAATGTCTGCATAATTATGGCAATTGTTTGTAATAAAAATAATTCAATATTAAAAACACATTTCTTTAAATTCAAATCCTTTAGATAGATTATCAATATTTAATAATTATACTTTTTCGAATATTTCCTTTTATATCCAAAAATAGGTTATTAAAATTATTTTATATATTTTTAATAATTCAATATAATAATAATTTTAATGTTATTAAATTAACTTTATTTTATGATTTATATGATTCAATTATACACTGAAATTATCAGTAAAAAAGTCACAAAAATTGATTAGGAACCGAGGTATAAAAGGAAATATCACTGTAAATCAAGTTGAAAATCACAAATAATGGCCATCTATAATTTTTGCTCATATAACCAGTATGCGACTTAAAATTGAAATTTATTTTCACAAAATTCATTTATCAATGTTACAAATTGCTTCACACTGATGAAACAGGTTCTATACGCAATTTACTACCACAACCTAAAGAAACAACAGGATAAACTTGGGAAGGAATATCATCCCATCCATATCCGGAAACTACAGGCTTTTTAATCCCATTGATAGAAAATGAACATTCGCATTTTCTCCTTTTATCAACTGTGCTTATTTCCAAATGAATAGTAACCTTATCCCATACTTTCATCTTTGCATCATACCATTTCCATTCATTTTTACGATAAACATAACCATCAGATCCAAGAACCCACCCATGGTAATTTTGCTCGGTTGTACTTAAACACTCATCACCACATACGCCAATATAAACTATTCCACCCAATTTTTCAATTACAATATTCCATTCATATTTTCCAAGATTTTTAAAAATCATATCTCCCAATATTGATTTATGTACAGATTTTTGTTTTGAATAATTGGGTTTCATCTCAATAGTAGATTCATCATTAGAAACAATCAATTGCTTTTCGAATAATCGATATTTCCATTTAAAAACAGGTATTCCACGAATATTTGGTAATTCATCATCACTTGCTTTGGAACGATAAATATTCTTGATTTTTTCAATTGAAAAAATATTTATAGGTTCAACGTGGTTAAAAATTTCTTTTGCATCCATTCGTTTTAAATCAATATAAATGGTAAATGGTGTTAAATGCATCTTCACTTTCTCAATTTCATCGGCACTACAATTTGAAAGTTCAGTTTTTTTATTATTTGTAGCAGTATTTATCACTTTTTTTAAAGCATATTTCCAAATATCAAACTCTGTAGTAGCAAACGGTATTTTGGTATCAAGAGTCCGCATTAAAAGATACTTCAACCCTTCCAATGATAGCGGATCATTTTCATCATTTTCAAAACTTTCCAATCTATTCTTGGATACCCAATTAATCAAAATCTGAGACATTTCATTATCCACCCTTGAGGTGAATTTCTTGACGAATTGCGATAAGAGGTTCTTGGAAACATTTGATCCATCTTTCAAAAACTTCTTGGTACGTTCAATAATATTTTGCTGAAGTACGTTTAACTTAAATTGAATTGAAGCATAATAAACTTCCACGACATTACTAATCGTTAAGTTTTTCTCTTCAACCTTGGAGGTATACAAATATTCTAAAATTACTTTCATAGCATTTGAATTAATATTCTTAAATAAAAGTTCATTTTCACTTCCTGATTTGGTGAAAATAAGAGCGCTGAAAACGTCGGAACGAGTTGCTAAAATAGCTTTACATGCATTTAATTTCTTTTCATCCGAACATTTTAAAGTAATGTCAAAAAATCGTTCATCATTGATTAATCGTTTAAAATCATTCACTAAGGAAGTTCCTCGCTGAAATGATGTGCTTTGACTCATTTTATTTAACGGTTGAAGAACGGGATAAAAACAATTAAAAAATTAAAATGAATATTTGTTCGACAAAAAAGACATTTTATTACGCCCAAGTTAAGTTTTTGTTTCTAAAAATGGTAGTTTATGTGTTCTCGTGCAACTAAGCGCCCAGAAATTCTGTTTTTCTCCAAATTAAAATTCTAATCACGTGATCTATCCCAAAAAATATATTGAATGAATCAATTTTTTAACCGTAAATAAAGATTTGAATATTTGTCGTGCAACAGTTTCTTTCTGCCATTTTTTTTTATGTTTTACGGGAAATATTCTGTTGTATATAAAAGAGCTATGCTTTGCTTTGCTTATGCTCTTGCGACAATCCCCGTAAATTTTTTTTCGTGAAAGGGTTCATTATATTTGAAAAAAAAATTTTGGATCGTCAAAAGAAAATACAAATGTATTGTTTTCAATAAGGAAGGTTAATTATGATTTATCTCTAATCTATTTTAAATAATCGTGGCGATTTTGATTAGTAATAATGGTAACAATTGATTTAATTTTTCAGATTCTACTTTTTTACTAAAAAAAGTTGGTTTCTTGCTTTTTGTAGACGATGACAGAAAATTATTTTTTGTTTGATGATTAATAATGATAGCGAATTAAGAGAAAATAATGTATGATAGAAAAATTGACAATAAAAAATCGTGAAGCCAGAATTAATTATTCTTTTGTAAAAAAAAAATTGATCAACAATCTTTTACTTCGCCTATGTTAAAAACTTCTTAAATCTTTGATTTGCATCTTTTTACATCATCAAAAAAAAAAATTTATAAAAATGTCATCTATCATTTCCCAGACACTACACTCTTCGGTGCAAAATCGACAAAATCTTCTGCGATATTCTCATTTGCGGGTGAATTATTTGTGGAAACAAATCTTGCACAAATTATTTATTCTTAGATAGAATGGTCGTTCCCAAATGTTAATTAATATTGTTAATGTTAATGAATAAAAAATTTGCTTTTGATGTCACGTAGCATGAGCTCACATAGCATTCTCAACGTAATCTTGTTTTATTTGAAAAAAAAGCCGACTTTAAATATTTAAATAGAAGGGTAATAATAAAAATAAGGTAAATAATTTAAAAAGATTATAATTGAATTTATTAAAATGAAGGAAGTTTAAACTTAATCGATTATATTATAGTCTAACGATTTTACATAAAAATAAATAATATTTAAACAATAAATGATAAAAATTTACAAAGACCCCCAATATTGTATGTGCTTTGGGTAAAAGGTAGCAATAGATAATATATATTACGATATTAGGAAGAGTGGCGTTTTATCATCAAATTATAAATTTCTTTGAAGAAAAAAAATTATCGAAATATTTAATTATGTTTAGTAATATAGATTATTTTGAAAGTATTTCGGTGTAAAAATTTATGAAATTTAATTTGTTTTAAATAAATTTTTTTGTAGATAGATAAGGAAAATTTAGTTTTTTTTTTTTTTATTTACCGAATGCAAAATCGAAGAATAATAGGTGTTGTACAGAATATAGAGCCTGTTCGCGTTATTTATTATTATTAATACATTTCGCCGCATTTACGTATAAGAATGACATTTTAAAACGACCAATTTTGAGTTTTTTTTTCATTTTGATAACGATACTTTATAACACTGCGATAAAATATTGTATTAATTATTTGAATTAACCAATTATATATTCATATAGCTTTTTAAAGTTACGTGATATTATATATTATTTAAAGTTCCAAAAAGGTTCGTCATTATAATGTTTGTTTACAAGAATTAAAATTCTTTAATATTCTAACTTTTTTGTAAATGTCGTGTACTTTATATTTTTGATGAAACTTGTAAAAGCGTTGATGGATGCGCAAAAAGATTAAATTCTTCCGTCCACAGTAATGTTTTTTATGTTTTCCGACAAAATAATATCCTTATTTATTTCGTACTCGTTTAATCGTTAATACAGTTAATGAAGTGAATGTAAAGAATAAAATCTAGCGATAGCGATACGTTAACAAAAAAAAAATTTAAAATGAAAATTAACCATTTTTGTAATAGGAAGTCCTAAACGGGTCATAAAATAAATTCGCCAAATCTAGTGTTATATTTTTCTTTCTAATGATAATGTAATAATTAATCCCAGAATTTTTTGAAATGAGTCCTAAGGTCCCATGAAAATTGTCTTGAAGACACAGCTTCCCAACGATGTTTCAGAAGAAGCTCTTCGAAAAAAAAATTGAGAGATCTCGAAAGGTTTATGGTCTTTTCAGTAGCATCAATGTGGTGCAAATATGGGTGGGTAGGGCTATAATAGGAAAGAGCTAAAACTTTTTCGCTATCATCTATTACTGGTTTGTAATTGCTAAAGTGCTTCGTAGATTAGTGGAAATGCGCCACAGATTACTGCGCCTGTCCTGTAACGGCTATAATGAAAAAAAATAGTGTTTCCGAAATATATATTAATAAAGTTCGCCCACATCGAGCTAGTGATTTTTAACCAAGATATTCCCTCCCTTGATCTTCGATCTGTGGGGTGATAATCATTTTGAACAAAATAGTTCTATTTTTACTTCGCTCTCAACAACAGGCTTCCAAGGTGGACATAGACATCGTATATCACGGGCTACATGTGAATAAATACAATTAATAAGAGATATAAAGTTAGTAGTAATAAATAAAAGAGATAAAGTAGAAAATGCGGAGGGGTTAGAAATAGGACATATGACTTATGCAAATATATCGTTTTTGATTCACAATGAGTTTGCACAATTATCAAATCAAAAAAAAGGGACGTGATCACTGTATTACAAACTCATCAATCAAAAAAGTCCGAATTGTGAATCAAAAACGATATATTTGCATGACTTATACGCAGTTATATATCGTTAATAAAAAAAAAAAGAAAAGACATTACTTTATCGATTTTTGGAAATAAATGGATATCATGCTCATGCATGATATCATGAAATCATAGAAATGACACAATACCTTTCGAACCTACATCATTACATTTGATATGCAGTAGTCAAATTATAATCAATACAAAAAGTTTAATAAATAAAGTGATATATCAACGAAAATTTCTCATATACTTGTATCTTTTGCTTCTTGTTTCTTGTTTTCTGCAAAAAAAAATTATTTTTGTTTTTTACATTTATTATTTTTGTATCATGTCTAAGATCGATACTAGGAGCGTCAATGTGACAGGTTGGTGACCTTGTGCGACAATGATCTAATTCACTATAACTAATATTTAACTATGACAATATAGTTGAAATACAAAATGAAGTAAAACTGCAGAAAACGAAGCACAATAATTATTTACAAGAAGCCTTTAAGCTTGGAATTATTAAGGAGAAGAGTACGGTAAAATATAAAAATGTGGTAGTTAAAGTTTCAATTCTATGAAGATATTCCCTATTACTCCTTTTATAAGTTCATGCTCGCGTTTGATAAGGTACGAACACTCATTTTACTGCAATTTTAAGTTTTGCTTTGATATTTATGAGTTTTATACTTCAAGCACGCACGATACATGAAGCTTGTCATTGACGAAGTTCCGTTCTATAATTTTCGAAAAGAACTAAAAACCAAGGGTAAGTAAATTTTATAAAACACTTCTGACCTTGAAACAGCATTAATTAAACGACTTTAAATAATTAAAAGATAAATCTTCACACGTGTCTACCATTCAATTATCGACTTCGTCAAACACACCCGAAGCCATATTATTATCTGATGATCCAACAAGCGACAGTTATATTCCTGAAATCATGGCCTATTTCATTAGTCGCGGCTTTCAACCAAGCCTCGTTAGGTCCTTTCTAGAGAGAAATTGTCATCTTGATCTCAAGACAAACGAGCATCTCATGTTTGACTTTCTCGAAGAACGCGAGCAACTGGATCCAGTAACCTTTGTTGGTATTGAGGGAAGCGGTGTAAGTGGTATAGAGTCAGGTGAAGATGAGAGATTGCTTGTGAAGTGGGGCCTTACGGATGAAACTGCAAGAGAACTTCGTCAAAGTGTGCGTGATGATGCTCTCTGGTCACAACAAATTTTATATCATTGGCTATTTGATTGGATCATCAATCCATGGGGTTCTTTCGTCCAGATGAGTTTTGACAACATTTTCTACAATGACCAATTTCCACGCAACCAGTGGAACAGTTATGATAGAAAGAATGGACCGCAAATGTTCGCCTCGTCCTATAAGGATATTATTGATATTGGAATAGATGGATTATTGAGTAACAACACGAAAGTCACCAGTGAAAATTCAAAGAGCACTGCCCATCAGGCTTTTTTTCATGCAACAACTCAAATAAGCGCGCAAAATATTAGTAAGTATGGAATACAGATTACACTAAACAGTCCACACCTTGATTTTGGAGCCGCTCATAGCTTTTACCTAAATCCATCACTTGTTAATGCAATTGGTAGGATTAAGAACCGTAATGGATTTAATGGAATTGTTGTTTATTGGGTCGATATTGACAAAATAAAAAGCATGAATTATCGGGATTTAGTTTCGGAAGGTGAGGATTTATGGAAGGAAGTGGTAGTTGCATCAAGATGTGGACAGCCTTCAGCAGTAGACGAAAATGCATTTGTCTATGATATCAGTTATCAAACCCAAGACCAATTCTCAATGAGTGGACAAATCGTAATGATCGTGATGAGGATTCATGGCGGCAGCTCATTCCAAGGGCTAAGTGGTTTGACCATTTTCAGCTCGCCATTAAGACTTTTAGAGCAGCAAAGCTTATGGACAGATATTGTGTTGGTGTTATTTACTTCCATACAAAAGATGTGGATTAAAAGCATGTGTAAAAGCAGATAGTCGTAATCAAAAGTTGTCATGTATGCAATATTAATAAAATGATTTTCGAGCTATTTTTGATTTCGTGTACCTATATTTTATTAGCTTTAAACGACATTTTCTATTGACACTTTGCATTATAAATTAATTTCTCCTGAGGATTTATGATTGAAGGAGGCCCCCAAATCCACTAAACAAGTCATAATAAATCTTCAGGGGCTATTTCCTATGTTATACGGGCTTGGTGAACACTTTACTACGCCACAAGTCATGATATTAATATCCGTTATGAAGTTTTTTGTATCTGTACTTCGCATACATAAATATCAATAAAGTTTCGCCCACAGTTTTGACATTTTTTTTTTACATATACATATATAGGTGTGAAATGAATTGAAATGATAATGATTTTTTTGATCGTTGCCCTCCCTCGATTTAAGATCTTTGAGTTGTTAAATAAACATGTTTGAAGACATTATCCCATAACATCTTTTTTTCTATGTACCAGAAAACTTTTATTCTTTTTTTTCCGAAATGAATATGAGAAAAAAGAAGGGCACAAAAATAAATCATGATATTCCCCTAGTATAAGCTGTTAAAATACATAAATTGACAAAATAAATATAAAACATCTAATTCACTAATAATTATGCCTAAACAAACTGTTATCATTTAAGACAAGGTTTTTAATAAACCTGTGCCTAAACCCTTACTTGGACTAAATAAAATAAGGTATAGTTAATGAGAGTTGATTAATAATAAAATGAACGTTAGAATTAAAACTTTAAGGGCCAAAGTATACAATATGACTCAAAGTAAAATTCGCATTTACGTATAAGAGAATGGCAATTTAAATTAAAGATTTTTTAAACGACCAATTTTGAGTTTTTGTATAACTGAATAATTCATTTGATGAGTTTTCGTAACTTATCATAACTACAATTGTTGTACAATTACGAAATAGTCCCATGACCACAAACCTAAGTTTTCGCTCCGGACTTTCTAACGGTTTCCGTTACCTAGTATATTATATAAATTCCAAAAAAAGGGTTCGCCATTATATTGTTTACAATAATTAAAATTCTTAATATTCTAACTTTTTTGTAAATGTCGTGTACTTTATATTTTTGATGAAACTTGTAAAAGCGTTGATGGATGCGCAAAAAGATTAAATTCTTCCGTCCACAGTAATGTTTTTTTATATTTTCCGACAAAATAATATCCTTATTTATTTCGTACTCGCTTAATCGTTAATACAGTTAATGAAGTGAATGTAAAGATAAAATCTAGCGATAGCGATACGTTAACAAAAAAAAAATTTTTTTAAATGAAAATTAACCATATTGAATAGTGAGTCCTAAAAGAAATTCGCCAATAATGTGTCGATCTCAAAAATGATAATTTAGACTTTTTTTTTAATATATTTCTCAGAATGTTTTTTATATTACCAAGAGAATATAATTAAAAAAGGAGTTGGAACTTGTCGATGTTTAAGTTCACAACTTGAACTAAAAGAGATCAAGCATTTATTGTATCGAACTCGGTAAATTTACTTTGTAGAACATTATCGTTACCACTTTCACCACATTTATGTTACTATAGCTTATTTACTTTATTTATTTATTATCTATACATGAGGATCGTGATAAAAAGCCATAGTAGCGTTTCTTTTTCAATTATGCTTTATTCGTAAGTATATCGACGAAGCCGCCATAAAAAGAGAGTATATATATATATGCAATATATATTATACATGTACTTTGCGTATTTATCTGTTATGTAAGTCGCAGCAAATAGAATTAATTTTAAAAACCGATATATAAAATTTGGATAAAAAAAGATCAATCATTAAGTGAGTGAAATAACATTTTAAAAATTTCGAGTGACTCGACGAATAAGATTAACTGCAGTCTCATATATTAATATCGATAAGTCTGTAACATTCAAACTTACGTTTGAATAATTTATACCATAAAAATCCTAAAAATCAGGTGACCTACCTGATTTTCCTTGTAACTGTTTAGTGGAGAAGTAATGCATTGGACAGGAACGAAAAGTTTGTAATTGTGAACATTTTGTCCAAGAATGAAGGATAGAATTTTGAGCATGTAGGATCTCTTTAAGATCAGTATTGCAGTAGTACTATAGCTCGAGCCACGCTTGCAATACAAGAAAAAAAAACCTAGTTATGAAGATTTGGAGTAACGATGGGCATTCAAAAGGACGTTAGTAAATATGTAATAAATATTGCCATTTGAATACACGCTTGGTAAAGTGGTTCACACGCATTGTAATAGGTAAGCAATGCCTCTGCTGTGACTGCTTGGGACTGCGACGTATGATATTATGATTTACCAAAATAAAACCGTTTATTAATCCATTACTTCTACAATTTCTCATACTGCTCAATGTCTTATATCACGTGTTATCAGGTTTTGTGCTATTTTTGTTAGTAACGATCGAGTTAGTCAGAAATAACCCTTAAGAGTAATAATTCTGACCAAAATTATCGCAAATCTAACAATTTATATATCCTTGAGAAAGGATACATTTGGGGCTTCGTCAATATAAACGCACCATCTTAGTAATTTAACGAAGCCACATTTATTTATTTACTTGATTTTGATTGGCTAGTTCGAACATCTTAAAGACAACTAAAATTTCGTAAATGTTTTTTTTCTTTGTCATTTTTATTAAGTTGATGCATGTGACAAATAAATGAAATATTTTTTTACAAAGTGTGCCATTAAAATAATAATTATAAATAAAAATATATAATACATGGTATAATCAATTTAATCAAAACCGATGGTGATATTGGGTAAATTTAAATCCAATAGTGAAAATTTTACACTATTTGTGGGTTCGCTTTGTAGTGAATAATTCGTATTTCTTTTTTCAAATACATCTTGAAATTGTATTAATCTACTTTTGAAAATAGCTTGTTCGTCCTTAACAATCGAGTTCCTCTTTTCCATTATATCAGGGATAAGTAAGTCAGCTTTTAAAAACGAATTTCGAACTTGTAGGTTGTCGGGATCATCTGAATTCATAATAGACCACCAAGAGTTGAAGATATATAATAAATCTTTGGTGGTGGGACGTGAGGAAGGGTCTGTACTACAACATTTCCTTGCCAGATCAGCATAAACCTTGGGAGTTCCTTGGGCCAATTCTGGACGTAATCCTTGACAAATTTCTAAAGCCAATTGTTCATCATGTGGACGATGTGAGAAAGGTGGAATTCCCGTGGACATTTCAATCATTAATATTCCAATACTAAAAACGTCAGATTCCTTCGAAAGTGCGTTTCCCATTATGACTTCTGGAGCCAAGTAAGGTAAGACTCCATACACATCCCTCTCGATGTTATAATTTAAAGTACTTGCAGGGAAATTTAATCCGGTATCGGCTAAAGTTGATGTAGTTTCCCTTGTCAATTCACCAATTTGTAGAATGTTTCCGGAATGAATGTTTCCATGCACGATACCCTCCTTATGTAATGTGAGTAGATTTGATGCGATATCACAAAGCCACCATGATTTTTCGGTCCATCGAAATGATGGAAAGTCACTATAAAATAACGTACGCAACGATCCGTGTTCGGTGTATTGCGTTACTATTATGTACTCTCCGGTGGTTGGATCTTTCGATATCCCGTAGAATTTAAGCAGTTGTTGCATTCTTTTACGTGATTGAACCAGACTAGTTTTGTAATACGACTTTAACTAAATTATAAAAAAAAAAAAGAATTATTTCCAAGGTCTCTTTTAAAATGTGATCATGAGACATAATGAATCATATGTTCCGTAACGTAATTTTAATAGCTCATATTTTTTTACTTACCCGTTTTAAATAATCATCAGACATCTCTTGAGAATTTTTGATGCATTTTAACGTGACGGTAATCGGACCTGTGCGTGTCCTTTGAGATTTAATTTTTCCATCTCGCGACCTTTCTTGTCGGCTAATATATGAACCGCACGTACACAAATGAATTAGCTGCGCAACTTTAATATTTTTTTTTTTTTTTTAAAAAAAGAAAATGTAAAAACTAGATTTACCTTCCTTGAGTCCAAGTAGCACGATAGACAATACCAAATCCACCTTCATCAATTTTGCACACATCCCTAAAATGTTCAAAAGGAATCCATTCCAAAAAAGGATCAGTCCAAGAGGTTGACTTTTTTTGGGTGCGAAGGATTAATTTATCGAGACCTCGATGACCCGAGTTCACACTTTTCATCGTACATTTTTTACACCATCCATCGTTAATCAGATATCGTTGAATATGTTTACAGGACGGTGAGTAATGAGCTTGTGATGGATGTAAAGTTGTGTGATTATTTGATGAATTTGAGTTTCCCATCTTTGTGAAAAAGGATATAAAAATATTTTCGTTAACCATGACCCTAATATGTATTGAAATTGAAATGAAATTTTGGTTAATTATCGAACAAATTTCATCTCGTCCTTAATTTTTTATTTTAAAATCTTGATACAATGGACAAATTATTTTTACCTCAAGTATTCCATTGGATTCTTTATGCTGCTAACTTAATAAATCTTTTTTTTGGAGTCTCTTTTATAAAATGAACAATAATACATTAAAACCGGATTTGGGATCTTCGATTATAGAAATAAGAATATTTCTGAAAATTGAAATCAGTACGTTCTTTTATAGAAACCTAAAATAATATTTTTTGTTTTGATCTACTGCTTGATTTAAGGACAATATTAACAATCATCATTTATTTGTTTTGCTTGCATGAAAAAAAAAATTTCCCCCTTTTTTTTTCCTTTTTGCAATAATATTATTGTTTAACCTTTCTTGGTTCATTGTGATACGCAATACCATTTAAAAGCTACTTCTTTGTTTAGACAATAGTAATTTCATAAATTTGGGTATAATGTTTAAAAATTTATCATTGGTAAAATCGAGTTTTTCAAAATGTAATGAGAATCACCTAAATAAGCCACACAAAAAATTAACAATTATGTGAAATGTGAACACAGAAGGTTTGTTTACGGTATAACGAGTAATGTAAGTAATGTAAACATCATCACCAATACTATTTTTGTAATGATGTAGATAAAGTTTGAAACAAGTGAACAAAATAAATAAATAAATAAATATTTTTATGTGTTTTAAAATTATGTGATCAGAAATGCATGAATTTTTTCTCCTAACGTAAATGAACAAAAATAAAGTTTACTAGAGCGATTTAATAATTTAGAATCGTGTTTTAAATTGAAATGTTGGACACAGTGTTTAAACCTATTTGGATTTAAGATTTATATTTTAATTAATTAAATAATTAATGTTTAGACATTTTCATATTAATATGAATAATTTTTGAGTTTATGTACCAATTGAAATCGTACTACTCTCTTACATTACTCATGTTCTGTAATGTAAAACATGAGTCGTGTAAGGTAAGGGATTACTATTTTAATTTGGTGGTGCATAAGCAATGGAATGTCGTAGACTCACTCAATGGCTGAATTAGGAATTTGATCTTTTATGTAATTTACAGTATTTATCCATCATTAAAAATTTTTAAAAATGGATTTTCAGAATTTTCGAGTTTAAGGAAATTAAAGGCTTAAAAAATTAGGGCAAAGTTTAGTTATTTTTTTGGTATCTTAACTTTTTATTGTATAAACGGCAATTTTAAAGAACAAATATATGGAACATCCTTATTTAGGATCTCTTTATCATCATCTTTCAATGATTTTTTTTTAATTTCAATTAATATCCGTAAATTTTACCATTTCGAATCCTTCATAATAATTAATAGAAATTAATGTATATATAAGATTATAATATATACTAAAGTTGAGACGAAATATCTCCATAGGTATCTATCCAATTTGCCTAACTTTAGGTAAAGATATAGAATAAGATACAAGCTATCCAACAAGCTAAAAACCATCAAAATTGAATTTCTAGATTCAAATCCATCACATTCTAAATACCAGATTATAGTCAAATTTTTTAATTATGATATAAATATCTCAAGGATACTTAACTAGTAATTGAATATAACTGAACTTAAGGTATTATTAAAAATATGAATGCATAAGTCTCAAACTTACTTATAATTTCAGAGATTATAGTTAATATTCTTAACTAATTTACTCTCATTCAGTATAAAGAAATAAATAAAACATGGGATAAGAAAATTGATTTTTACATTAGACATCTGGAATTTAAATGTGATGTAATATTCTAAAGATTTATGATTTTCGTAATATTTCAGAGTACAGTCAGACCCCTATACAGTCACTGAGTTAGTTCTATTAAAATTAGTGATTGTATAAAGGTGTAACTATATAATAAAACCTTTATATAATCACCTCTATATCATAAATCATATGAAGTGATTATATAGAGGTTAATATGTTTAACAATTCTGATTAAATAGTATAATACAATTGAAACTTACTATAATAAATTTCTATATTCTAAATTTTTTATTATAGCAAATTACATAAGTAATCCCAAAATTTATTAAATAAAATTATTGAATATAATGAACTTTTATAATAAAATTTACTATTATATATAACGAATTGAAGATTCTGATCAAATATAATAAATGTGACTTTTGTTAACAAAGTTTTTTTATATAATAAATTTTTATATTAAATTTAAGGATTATAGCAAATTTTTTTCTTGTATTACTATTAAAGAAAATATTACATTATACATTTTAATAAATAAAGTATAAATTAATAATTTAAATATTCGCAAGAATATAATAAAATATGTAAAATTAGTTAATAAATTTTTATAGGGATTAATTAGTGTTGAACCTCATATTAATTAGTGTCAAACCTAGGATTAATTAGTGTTAAATTAGTGATGATTAATTAGTTAATTCAATTAATTTAATTTCTATAATTCAAATTTGAAATTGCTGAAAATTTCAATTGTAAAATTACATAAATTTAAAATTATGAAAATTTTTAATTGCAAAAAATGTATATGCGATCACATCATATGCATGATACGTAATGTTTATTAGAATTCCTCAAAATCGAATCAAATCAAATATTTAAGCAATTTGAATTTGATTTGATTTTTTCAAATCAAATCAAATCGAATCAAATATTTGTTTAATCAAATCAAATCAAATCAAATATAAAAATTTTTTAATTTTTACAATGATATATTAAAATAAAGTAATTATAAAGGTTTAATTAAGAAAATTATTAGTAATTGCACCAAAAAATTTTAAAACCAGCTTTTACAAAGTAAGTTTAGTAACAGGTGAATTTTTACTATTAAACTTAGTAAAATAACTCCACAGTCTTGGTTTTACTAAGAAAATTTAGTAATAACTGCCATCGCAGCTTCGGTTTACTAAGAAAACTTAATAATAACCGATATCGCGGCTTCGGTTTACTAAGAAAACTTAGTAATAACCGATATTGTGGCTTCGGTTTACTATGAAACTTAGTAATAACTACCATTGCGGCTTTGGTTTTACTAAGAAAACTTAGTAATAATTGCTATCTCGGCTTCGTAACCATTTTATTATTAAAAAAACGTTTCCAAAGCTGTGGAGGCGTTTTTTTTACTAGGTTTCTTAGTAAAATAGCATCTCCGAAGCTACAGAGGCATTTTTTACTATGTTTTCTTAGTAAAATAACGTCTCCTAAGCTGCGAAGGCGTTTTTTATTATATTTTCTTAGTAAAACAACGTCTCTGAAAGCTGTAAAAGCGTTTTTTACTATGTTTTTTTTAGTAAAAAGGCATTTCCGAAGATGCGGAAGCGCTTTTTACTGTTTTTCATAGTTAAAAAGGCATTCTGAGGCTGCAAAGGCACTTTTTACTATGTTTTTCATAGTAAAAAGGCATTCCGAGGCTGTGAAGTCACTTTTTACTATGTTTTTCATAGTAAAAAAGGCATTTTCGAAGCCACAGAGGCGCTTTTTACTATGATTTTCTTAGTAAGAATCACTCCTGAAGCTTTAGAGATGGCTTTACTATTGATTCAAATCAAATCAAATATTTGAATACCTGATTTGAATTTGATCAAATCAAATCAAACATTGATTTGGATTTGATCAAATAAATCATTCTTTATTTGAATTTGATCAAATCAAATATTCAAATATTAAATCGAATTGTGGAACCCTACTTTTAAGTATGATGGTCCGATTGTTATAATGACGGATAGCACTAAATTGAAACCTGACCTTCAGTATTCTGCATAATTTGGTTATATTGTAGGTTTCTCATTATAAAAAAAAGAAACTCAAGTAAACGATTATTAATAATATCAAAGAAAAAAAAGCCATAGCAAAAGATGTTAGAGCCTATTTATTACAAGTAAAATTCTTATTATAATACTTAACTTTTAATTAATTATAATCGTTAAATAAAATATTTATTTTAGATTCCACTTTCTAAATTTCCTCCGATGGTAATTGCTTTAATTCCACACACTGATTCTGAAAAACAAATATTATTTCTGCATTTCATTTTAAGCTTCTTATCGATATTGCTTCACAATTTAATCTTCATATAATTTCTATTGGTTCTGATGGAATACTGGTTGAATTTCAAGCTCAAACAGCTATACAAAAGTTTATTACATCAAATCGACTTTCTATTGGTCATAAAGATTATGGAATAGATTTTAGTTGCCTATTTTTTCAAATATTGGACCAGTTATACATGTGTATGACTCAAAACATAAAAAAAAAAACAGCGCAGAATGTCTGTATGTTTGGTGCAAGATTGTTAAGTTTTGGAAATTCAACAATACATTATGGACAACTTTATATCAACAACCAGAAAGTATTTTGTACAAATGAGATGTAATTAAACTTGATCGACAAGATGATGATGTAGCATACTATATATTTTGTGCTCAGAATCTTAAGCAGCTTTTAAAAGACAATGGATAATTATCTAATGATAATAAAGGTTTATTTGTATATTTATTTATTATGGATAAGTTATTTTTATTCTAATTTTTTTTATATTTATATATATATATTAAAATAATTAACATATAATTTATTATAAATAGGTGAATTATTAGATAGTTATCTTAATCGTGAAATCGCTCATTTTGAAAGAATTAAAATAGCTACAAGAGCTTACTTTTTTCTTCATTTTTGGTGTTTTCATATTGAAACTATTGTTCAAATATATCCTAATCATATGTCTTTAGCACATAATTTTTTGGCTTCACAAAGTTTTAATTTTTTACAAGTCTAACAGAATCTCTTTTACTCTTAATCAAAATTCATTGTGAATTTTATTCAACTTTTTCTCTTTTATCTTGGAAATATGATACAGAAGTATGTGAACATTTTTTTGGTATTGCAAGACAATTACACAATGATTTTAAATATAATGATATTTTAAATCTTATTCTAAAAATCACTCATTATACGAAATCAATTAAAGCAGAAGGTATTATTTTAAATAAAGAAAAAACTGTATGCAAAGATATATTTATTTATTATATTTATTATTATAAATTTTAATATTTATTAAAATATTTTATATTATAGGTTATTAATTTGATATTGATGAAATACTTGATCAAAAAACTCTTGAAACACTTCTTTTTTGGCCAACAGATATTGAAATAAAAAGTGCAATTAAAATTGGTTTTTATCAAGCATCTGAACTTGCTGAGATACTAGCTATAAAAAGAAAACCAGAATCCATAACATACTTTTCTAGTAAAAATAGCTTATCAGAAATTCATAATAATGATGATAATGATATTATATTTAATAGTTCTAATAATAGAGTTGATCAAAATAATATTCAAGATGAGTAATTCGAATGATCAGCGGTTTTGTTTATTTCAGCAAATGAGATATTTACGACATTTGATAATTTACAGGATATTCAAAACAGGATTGGCAAAAGACCTTGAAATGATCTTGAAATGATCTCAAATGACCTCAAATGACCTTATTGTTATTATAAATTTCAAGTCAAAAGATCTTATAATTTGCTGATTCAAAATACTGATGATACATTACCTTTTGATTGTAAAGTTCAATTGATGGCTTTGCAAAAAAAGTCTTTATATAACAATTATAATAGTATGTATAATTTAAAAATTTTTATATTACTTTTAAAATTATTTTATTTATAATAATAATATTATTTTTTTAAATAGGTACGAGCTTTACTAGTTATAAATTACCAATTGGCAAATTAAATTTACAAGTGATGATTGAAGAAAGGAAATTACACAATGTATTCACACACAGAATTTACAGAGTTTGATGGAAATGGATATTCTCTTTTTTCACATTGTGATCCAATACATATTGTTTATAATATTAGAATAACTAATGTATAAATAGAAGAGAATATTCTTTTTTTAAAAGGAATAGCTAGAACTATATTTACTGATCTTAATAATATTAAAATTTGTAAAGCTTTAGCAGACTTTTGATCATATATAAAATAAAATTGTTACTGCTTATGTTATACAATACAACATATAAAAAAGTGCTAAACTTTGAGAACGCACTATGTGGCACGATCTCAAAATCCCACCATTATTTGGCCTTAGGTTCGTGTGTTCTTCCTAACCTGAGACACTACATATCTGATATTATCATCACTTCGATTCAAAATAAATGTTGCTGAAAACGTTTTTATTCGTTGAATATTAACTACTTTGTTTGCTAAAGGCTAGGCATCTTCACGCTGATCAAGAATACATTTATCGGTAACACCACATTTAACAGTGAACACCCATTTATATCACATAGTATACAAGTTAAAAATTCTCAAGAGCAAATTCAGTATTACTCCATCTTTATTAAAAAAAAAAAAAAATTACAAGTTAATCTTTACAGCCAATTAGTTTGCAACATATATTAGCAAAAGAAATTCTGCATTTCAGTTCCTTGAATGTCTTTGAGAACTAAAAAAAAGGTTGTTAAAATCACTACTAAAAGCTATTTTACAACCACAAGTAGATATGTAGTAAAAAAAACTCCAAGTAATCAATAGGCAACACACAAAATAAGTAGCTTCATTTATCCTCCATTAAGCCAACGAGTCCAATGGAAACAAAGAGATTTGTTCCCTCATACATTAAACAGAAAGTCATGTTTTTCAATGCTTAGAAATCATGTCCCTCAGGCAACGCCGATTAAACCTACCTATAGAGCATTGCTCAGAGTAAGTTGCACACCCACGCTGACTTGGATGAGACTATACGAGAACTTATTTCCCATGCTACACTGTCAATCACATAGAGTCATCGCTCATACATACCTTTCAAAAATTTCATTTATTCCACTAAGTTGATGGTTCTTTTGGTTTGGGAACTTCTTTTAATATGCTAACTGTTAAGTTCTGTGAAGACAAGACAGTTAGCTTATCACATGAATTCATTATGCAATTAATATTCAATACTTACAATGCCGAATGTCAGATTCACAAATCGAACAAAGTTGAGAATTTTCTCCTTTTTGCTTTGCTTTTCAATTATTCTCTAGATGTACATCATATACTCATCTTTTTTCAAAGTGAGCTTCATTATTTGCTGTTTTTGTTTTTTATCTGCCCCCACAAAATCTTCAAGAACTTCTGAAACAAACTCAGTTATTTCACATGGGCTTATATTGTTGAATTTTCTCTTAGGTGGTCGAAAGATCTTAGTCGACTTGCTTATCAACCGTTGAATTATTTCATCATCAAAATTTTCTTTATTGCCATATACTTCTTGGTAATTCCCACCTAGTGTTCAAACAAAAAAAAACATCAATTCATGTTATTATGAGGCAGATAATTTGCTTCAACTACTTACCAAGACAAGCAACAATTTCGCATGCTAGATATACAACATTTTGGAGTGCAAGATCACTCTATTGTCCCTTTTCATTTATAATTATCCCATGGGCCATTTGATTTCTCACATTCTTTTTGAAGTTAATTAGTAACCCAGTAGAATCCGACTTATATCTACCGTGAAAAGTCGATTTCTTCAAAAAAATGCTTATATTTTCAGTTATAAACTTTATCATACATAATATATCAGCATTTTCAAAGTCAGGACTGAAGGAATTATGTGCTCGTTGTCTATAAGAAATTTATAGAGTGCTTTCTCAACAAAATTTATGTAAGGTTCAATAATAGCCCCTTGTTCATTGTTAGCGAAGGAAAAGGTTTGTTTCACTGGCGGGGGTGAAAAATCACAAGTTTTTACGTTACTATTATCTCTGTTGCCGGACTCTTGTGGTTCAACTACATTATTACTGTAACTGTCGGCGGTCGCATTTAGTTCAACTATGTTATTATTGTAACTGTTGGCGGTCGCATTTGGTTCAACTATGTTATTATTGTAACCATTAGCAGTTGTATTTGGTCCAACAGTAATGGTAGATGCGTAAAATTGAGTTTTTTTCTTAAATACTGCAAATGGTTTTTCTTTGCAGGAAGATGAACTCTTTTACTTAACCAATTGTGAGTTGCGTATGGAGTTATTTGAGAGTTTTTTCAATAGACAAGCATTATTTAATGCTCCTAGCGTGGCTTCAAGGGTGTTCTTGAAATTTTGTTCAATAGTACCAGATCGTAATCACGTAGACAGTCTTATTTTGATCATGGTAACTTAGTCAGTTCTCTTTAATTGGTTTGGTAATTTCTCTATTGTCGCGAACGATTTTCTTTTCCTAAGAGTAAAAAGTATAAAATGATTTTTTGTGAATTGTGACGCATATTACCGTATTCTTCCGATTTTAAGCACCACCCAAACTTTTGGAAAAAAATCTTAAAAAACAAAAATAAGCACCACCTTAAGTTTGAAAATTTT